GAAAGAAAACGATGACGCTTATTTTCTATTTAAAATATGATTTTTTGAATTTTACCTTTTGTTTTTCGCTTTATATCTCTGGCTGATATCTAGTTAGTATTTTTTTTTTAAATAACGATATGAATATGATGGGTGATACCTGGATAGGGTGTAGATCATTTCTATAAATTTATTTCTTTCATGATTTCTATAAAAAAATATTTAATTTAGTTCTGTTTCTGTTAAGTACGAAGCTAATATCTTCTGTATGGAGGATGAGTTTATGAGTATGATTTTATTCCTGAACTATTTTTTTATGCATTTTCTGTATTTCACTATTTATTGATTGGTTTTCATATTTTCTTATGTTTGACTTCTTTTTTAAGGCTGTCAACTTTTGAATTTGTGATAGATTAGGGTTTCATTCAATACTTCTTAAAGTATCGATCGGTCTTTTGTGGCTCTCAGTCAGGGACTTACTTTGCGGAATTGCCTGATAATTGAATGATTGAATCTGTATTATTGAAGGTGTGAAGATTTTTAGAGTACGGTAGCATCAGCAAAATTAAAACCTAAAAACAAAACTCCTTTTTCCTTTGTAATCTGTTACTGCTTCCTGTAATTATTGGTGAGAGAGCTGGTTCTTAATGGTGAAGAAACTGGGTAGTTAGTTTCCAATGGGTTGATAGATAAGGGTAAATTCCTCTAGGATTTTTGTGGTGGAATTTGGTCCAAGTGTTGCACTTGCGGGGTTTAGGGAATACTTGTATTTACATACTTGGTATTGAAGTAAAACTTTTTACCTTGATGTTGTACTCACATATGTACAAGAGCGAATAGAGATCCTTTGGATTTATGTTTTCAGCTTGTTCGTGTTAGCCATAATGGAAGGAGGAGAAAGTTGTACTACTCTATTTGTTCCGAACTTGTGTAGCCTATTCTGTGTTTTTTTCTCTCTCTTTTGAGTTGCCTATTTTTGAAGGATGGAAATAGATATCTGCACACACTTGGACTGAAAATTGGTGACTACTTTAGTTCAACATCTCTGATACTTTGGTTGCAATTTTTCAGTGAAGTGGATTCTAAGTGTCATCAGCCAATGCTTTTAGCGTAAAATTGGTGGAGTGAACAAACTATTCTGTTATTTAAGTGGATCGACATTTTTCTAAGTTGCACCCCTCTAGATCTGAGATACAGAGATGCTTGGGCTCTGATGCTGTTGGATTTAGAGGTAAATTTTGTACTTTGTTTTTTGTTTTGCATGCTATGTATCTATAGAGAAACCATAAATGGTCTCCATCTATAGTTGAATTTAGCATGGATGCATGATTGGAACTTCTTTTCCTGATTTATTTCCTCTGTGAATTGAACAAGCCTCAAGTTTATATTTTCAGGATCTTGTGACAAGTTAGCTTGTGTTTTATATGAGCTTAGTTTTCTTTGAGTTCTGTCTCTCTGATGGATTGGAGTGCCAAAACCCCCTTGCAATGGGACTGGGAAAACTTAATGATGTTAAATGCAACACCGACTGAAATTCCAAGGAAGCTGAGACCAGTAGAGTGGTATTTTGATGGAGATGGAGGAATTAACTCAGGGTCTCTCTATTCTTCCGGTGCTGCTGGGGGTAGTGGAGGTTCTGGCTCAGATTTGGGCCTTGCACCTCTGTCTAAAAGTTCAAAATCAGCATCTATTAATTCTTCATCTATGGGGGAAGTAAAGATGACCAAATATGCTTTGGAAGCCTTTCAAGCTGTCCCAGATGGTATTAGCAACCAGAAAGCTTCCATGGTTGAGCTGGCTGATACATCCCCCACACATGAGGCTTCAGTTGGCTCTGGCGAGCATTTGCTCGGTTTAAAGCTTGGAAAAAGAACATACTTTGAAGATGCTTCTGCAGGAAGCAATGCTAAGAATTTGTCTTATCAATCCACTCCTGGACCATCTCCCATCCCAGCAAAGAGATCCAAACCCAATTGTCAGGGCACATGTGTTCCACATTGCCAAGTCGAGGGCTGCAACCTTGACCTATCGTCTTCTAAGGATTACCATCGGAAACACAGAATTTGTGAAAGTCATTCAAAGAGCCCAAAGGTCATTGTACGTGGTCTAGAACTCCGGTTCTGCCAGCAGTGTAGCAAGTAAACCTTTTTTTATTCAAGTTAATTGTATCCAAGGATATTGCTTATTGAGTATTTACTTTTGCATTGTGATGTTTTACTTATCTTAGTATCAAAGATGCGGCTCTTAGTAGTAGTTATATGGTTCCTTAGTACTGGCCTTGTGATTAATTCTCTTAATGAATGTTAAAATGATAATTATTTTCATGATGTTCAAGGTTCCATGGCCTGTCGGAGTTTGATGAAAAGAAGAGAAGTTGTCGCAAGCGTCTTTCTGACCACAATGCAAGACGCCGTAAACCACAAACAGAACCGTTCCACTTCAATGCTGCAAGACCTTTGTCATCATCAAATGGTATTGGCTTCAGACTCAGATTTGATGTGTTTTATGCATGTAATTTTTGTTGTGTGCTACTTTCACAGGAGTGGACCAATTGGATGCATCTTTCTTTTTTATTCTCTCAACTCTCAATTATAATCATGCGTTGTTGTATATGGATATTTTAAATCAACTTTGAAATGCTGCTTGGAAGGCAATGGTAATACAATATCTTGGTACATGTTTCGTATTAGTTGCAAATAATAATGTCAATGGGTATCCCTAGACTTTGTATATTTTCTCCTCATTTGACTTTTACCCGTATAAATGGTGCATACTTGTGTCGAAGCCAATGGTGTAATTGTTGCTTATTGTTTTCTTGTATTTTTCATTGTTGCCATCATTAGTTGCAACTAATTATTTGATAAGAAAGGCATGTTTTTCATGCTTCTAGGTTTCTGATACTTTTTAAATTCTTTCCATGTGGTTCCTTAAAGTTGTCTGCCATTTTACATGTCCATCTAGATAACGTGGGAGTTACTTATTCATGCTTATTAAATAGTTTCTTTGATTTTATTCTCTAACATAATATAATCAAATAGTCCGGGGAAGATTTACACCATACTTTATTGGATGCTATGCTTATGATATAGTTGTTGTTTCTGCTTTCTGGTTTATGTAAGGTTCAATAATCGTGCCTCTACTTGGTACAGATGGGAAGCAACAAATGAGTTTGATCTGGAATGAAGTGCCAGTTCTTCATAATGCTAGACCCAATGAGGATTTTGCATGGGAAGGCACACTCGACTCCAAGCACTTTCAAATTAAAGGTTATAGTCCTACAAAAGTTGGAAATGTCAATGGGCAGCAACACCTTCCGGGCAATCAGCTGTTGAATTCGATCACAATGCAATGTCTTGATCCTGGCGGATCCCTGCCTGCCAAGGGCAAGCAGAGTACAGCTGATGTTCTCAACCAAGGTTTGGTTTGTTTTTCTTTCTAGGAAAATAAGTTCAATGATATATAGGTTTTTGATCTTTGACAAATGTTATCTGCCATCTTCTAGTGTTATTTAACACATAAATGTGTTACCTGAGGATCACATGTCTATAGAAAAATATTTTAACAATATTACGTCATACGCTCGGAGAAACTTTTTCCGAAACATAGTTCTTGAGCTACACACATAATGATGTATACTTTACAGATGAGTCATGGTGCTGAAGGCCTATGATGCTCCCCTTACTGAACCGGTTTACAAGCTTAACAGGTTTTGTCCAATTTTGTAGGTGTAGAAGAATCCACAGTTGCTTCAGACATGGCTACAACGCAAGATTTTCATCGTGCTCTCTCTCTTCTGTCAAATGATTCCTGGGTTTCTTGTGAGCCAAAGCACGGTTCGGTCACCTACTCCACGCATGTCGATCCTCCTACCAGTGTGTCTCAGCCAGCAATGAATGCAATTTCGCAAGGATTTGGGAGCACCTTATCTGAAACCTGGTTGATGGAACATCGGACGGCTGAATCCCAAGTAAATAACCGTGATGGCGACAACCATTTCCAAGAGTCCCAGCTGCTCAAGCTCCCTATGCTAATGGCTTTTATTCCAATCAGATGAACTGACTGCACGAAGTTCAGTCTATGTTTGCATTTTACTTTATGTTTCTATAATTTGGAATTTGTGATCCCATTGGAATCAACTCAAATCTTAAACATTGGTTCGGTATTGGTAGGACATTGTGGATTCAAACTCCAGTTTCCTCTTTAATATGTTAAATTATTAATCTTGCTTAAGAAATTTAATTTCTCGTTACATAGACTAATTAATTGTTGGTTCAAACAAAGATTTTTAATATATGAAAAAAATTGTCATTACAAGTTAATATGCAAGTACGCTTACACATAATTGAAGTTCACAAGTGCATAAAGAGAGATTTTTAAGGTATAATAATATTTTTTTTAATATGATCCTTTTTATTAATTTGATTTATTTTTCTTGAACTAAATTTTACTCTCAATCTGATTTAGTCAATTCATTTTAACTTGATTTTTATAAAAATATTAATTCAATTTTATTTATTTTTTAAATTATTATTTATAATTAAATATAATAATAAATAAAACTAAGAAAGGGAAATCTTTTAAGGAAGATATCGTTAAATTATATTGAAACGATTTTCTTAACCATTAAATTTTTAAAAATTATATAATAATTATTGAATTTCTCATATAGTTATATAATGATCATCAAATCTTATTAAATTTATTATAAAATGATAATTAAATTTATTGAAACGGTTAAACTTATTAAAGTTATCAATATTTTATAATTTATGATGAACATTTATAATATTTTGATAAATTTGATAATTTATTTTATAATTTTTGAAATTTTAATGATAAAAAAAAATTTAATATGATTTAATGTATAATTTATGTAATTTTGTTTTGGAGTAACGTAAATTGACATAAGCTAAAAACTGCTTGGGTAGAGGGGAGCAGGTGGACGAGTGGTGTTTTGCCAACTCTTCAGTCAGTACTAGCGGATATTTCCTTCCCTTTTCCGTCCTCCGTCCTCCGTCCTCCCTCCTCCCTCCTCCTTTCCCTTTATCACTCCCGATGCCTCCGCTTCTCTCTTCTCCTTCGTTATCTTCTCAGCACAACACCACCACCGAAATAAAAATTCCCCAAAAAAGTATTTTTTTTATATGAACAACTGTGTACCGAAACCTCTCCCAACTCTCTCGAATCTCGTTCTCCAAACTCAAATTATATTTTACCAAACAGAAACTTATCATCTCAACACATAAATACTATTATTATTAATAATATTACGTTTTGTTCGTCTATAATTTATGCCAATGGCTCATGACAGTTCTGATCGATTGCCCTCTACTGGTACGTCGCTGTTCAGATCGTTATCTTTGTAAACGAAGAAAGAAAAATCGGAAAAGAAAAAATTATTTATGCCCTTTTAGCCTTTAAATTTTCAATATTGTTTTTGTTGTTAGATTTAATTATTTTGTTTTATTTTAAGGAGTTATCGAATGAGAAATATGGAAATATGTTATCAGATTGTTTTCCGTTTTGATCATGGACAAAGTTTATGTTTGGCAACGAATAGTGTCGATTTTTTTATGATCCATTATTGTATGTTTATGCTTCTGTGCTGAATGCACTTATCTTCGTACATGCTACAGTTGTTTGTTTGGTAAATCGAATTATTTTGACTTTTTCTTTTTGAATTCTAGACTCAGCCGAGGTGTTCAACGTTCTGGTTCTGGATCGCAACAACCACCTTGCTAATCCGAATGCTTTGACTAATAAGGTATATATTTGCTTGCATTGCTTCGTTTTGTTGTTTGCCTTGATTTGATTAGTATTGCCATTAGTTTAACATTTGATAATTACTTCGGATGTGGTTATTTATTTAATCTATTTACACAGGATTTGGTTACCGTTGGTTCCTTGCAGGATGGTTCACATCAGTCTGGATTCGTGCAATCTGTGGTTGACTCTAAGACAACCTATTTGTCCAATGCCTATTCTCCTGACGCACAGTTCTATCAAGAAGGTTAGTTTTCATTAAAAAGAAAAAAAAAACTTATCTTGTAATTATGTAAACCTAGTTTTTGATTTTGTGTATGTTAAAAGAATGTAGAAACCTAGGATTAATGGTGTATCAGTATAATGTTCATAACTTGATATTTCTTAGTGAAGTGATTTTCATTCTTGTGCTGATGGGAAGAGTAATTTATTTCACGGTAAGCAATTCTTCTTGTATATAATATATATAGGCAGTGTTTTATAGTGAACTTGTTGTGATAGTTGCACACACATGTAAATATATATAGGCAGTGTTTGAGGTTAATGCTTTTTCTGCTAGTATTTTTAGCGTCAAATGGATTTGTTTTTAAAAAACAAGAACTTTTCCCCTTTTTAGATTCCACTGAAGGTGATTCTAAATTGGATGTGAGGCATGTCATGCAATTTTATGGACTACGGTCCCTTAGGCAGCTAGTTAGAAGGATTGTGGCTGGCAGAATAAATTTTCTGTATGGCACATGATACTTTTTCTTACTTTGTTTATCACTCAAAGTTTTTCCTGTGCTTGTGGAATGCAGCTCACAAGCAGGGTTCATTGCTTCCATATGTTAATGCCAAGGGTTTGGACAATGGTTTTCATGTGTGTAAACCTACAATCTTTTCCAATCATTTACTATTATCAGCACTACTTGTTGCATTCTTTCTTTCTATCAGTATGTCTTACAAAAGCATTACTTTTTTTCCGCCTTACCCAGGACATCTATAATGAAAATGAATCTCTTGGATTTCATGGTTTTGGGCATACCCCACAAATGTCACAAAGAGCTCATACTCCGGTTTCATCTGATCTGCCTCCTATTGGAGATCCTAGCTGTCTGTCCAATTCAAGGCATTTTGTCACCTTAGATTCATCTTATCATCATCCATCAGTTCCCCGAAATAGTCCACATGTTACTTCGAAGGCCCAAATTTCTCATTTTGAGTTTCCTGTAAATATTGAGCAACAAGTGGATGGAAAAAGATTTGGGCTGAGACCCTATTACCTTCCTCAATTAGGATCATTTGGTGGAGAAAGCAACTTATTTGGAAGCTCAAGCAGTCTTTGCTCCTCATATCAAGGGTCTGATCGGTTTGCGGTTGGTGGATTCTGCCCAGACATGTCAAAGCCTTTTAATGGGAAGAGTTCTTTGTTTCATCCATCATATCCAACAGCTTCTCCAAAACGAGTTGGTTCACTAGAGATTTCTTCAAACGACCTTGCAATGGTTAGTTCTTTACCTATCACATACTTTAAGTTGATGGGCAGCTAGCATTTTCTAGCAAGCCAAGAGCAAAAGGATATGAAAGAACTCACATTAAGTTAATGCATTAGAGTTCCCAGATAAATGTGTGTCTCAATGGTTATCAACAATGACGGCTATTCCTAAATATAATTAATAATACAAACATGTGTGGTACTTTTATTGGAATTTTTTATGAAGTTCATGGAGTTCAATTCTTTGCACAAGTAGTGAAGTACATGAATGCTGCTCTCTCAAGTAATCCTCATCAACTGTGAACAATTTTACTTTATTTTGAACCATGAATAAACCGAGTCTGAATGTCTTCTTAACTTTGATGAAAACTTGTTGGTACAAGTCTAGAAGCTTTTAGAGTTACTTTCAATGGATTAACATGTGTAAAGTATGCATCATTCATCATTTCTCCTGAGCAGCACCTGCTTAAGCATCCCCCATTCCCCCCCCCCCCCAAAAAAAAAGGACAAAAGAAAAAATCTAGCTCAAAAAGATTGAGGCTTTTATACAAGTGGCTCTTGGAGTTGTAGATAATAGTAGCCAATTTTGTAAGCACTGAATGTCGTCTCATGATTTTTTTTTTGGGTGCAACATTGTGACGTAATTTTGGTTTGCATCTTCTTTTCATCATTAGATTCCAATCCTGAGATGTTTCTAGTTAGGTTCCAATTCAAAAATATTTTTTCTGTGAAATAGATACTGCTACCTGATCGATTATAGTTCATTGCCTAACAGTTAAGTCATATGCAGGCTTTTTTTCAAAAAGGATCATTTAATGGGCTTGGTTCTTGTTCTGGCTTCAACTCGAGAGGCTACAGTGGTAACCAAAGTGATCAAAGTGCTTGTCATGGCATAGTTTCCACTTCTAGTTTAGGAATAAGTGGTCATAACTGGCCTACACTTGATGAAGCAAGACAAGGAGGGAGCTGCAACGACTTCTCATGCAGTTGTACTGTAACACTTGATACACTAAGTGAGCGTAACAGGGGACCTAGAGCATTTAAGCCTAAAACTCATATAACTACCAAGGGTTATATTGTTGATAGCTGCAAGAATGGAACAGCTAATGACATTACCAATGGATTGTACAACCGACAGAATTTTGCCACTGATTATGAGGGTGCCAAGTTCTTTGTAATCAAGTCTTATAGTGAAGATAATGTTCACAAGAGTATAAAGTACGGTGTCTGGGCAAGCACCCCGATGGGCAACAAAAAATTGGATACTGCTTATCATGAGGCAAAAGCTAAACAAGGAACATGGCCTGTCTTTCTCTTATTTTCGGTAATCTACCTTGCGTTGCATTCTAGGTGTTGGAGGGGTAAAAAAATGATGAAGCCCTGTAATTTAACCGAAAACAGCTGATGGATAGAATAACAGCTAGGATTAGTTGACCTTAGTATGTAATATATGTGCTTTCCTTCTGTTTCATTTGAAATCCTTGTATGTTACGTATGCAGGTGAATGCAAGTGCTCAGTTTTGTGGAGTAGCTGAGATGGTGGGACCTGTTGACTTCGATAAAAGTGTGGATTATTGGCTTCAGAATAAGTGGTCTGGGCAATTCCCTGTAAAGTGGCACATTATTAAAGATGTTCCCAATAGTCAGTTCCGCCACATTCTGCTTGAAAGTAATGACAACAAGCCAGTTACTAACAGTAGAGATACTCAAGAGGTAAGGATGCACTTGGGGTTGACACTTTATAGCCACTTTTGCGTGCTGATCTGATTCTTGGTGTTTCCGGTTACATTCAAATTAGTGTCGTTATTGTCTCATACATGGCTATTCTAATTCTAACTAGTGCTTCTGAAGTAATTATGTTGGTCTAGAATCAAATTTGATTCAACCAAGCCAACATTAAACTTGTCTAATATTCCACACTGTTTCTTTTTGTACTTGATTATACTGTGGTGGTGTATTTATGATTTTTGTTGAAATGTAAGATGCATAACTGGATGAACTCGAAGTCATAATGTACATCCCAGAGCTAGAAGATAACTACCCTTGTTTCCATTTGAACTTGTAAATGGGCATGTATGGCATGCACATCAACTTGTTATGTTATGAGGTATTGAGCATGCGAGCAAAATCGCACCTATGATGCTGATATGTAAACCTGATTCCTATGGATCCAGTTTCCATACCATTGTGCTTTTTTATCTGATTGTGCTTATGTCAAGTAAGGTATATAATCTCTCATCTTTTGTTGCGACAACGCTGTCTTATGGTCTCTGACACAGCTGCATCAAATAATATCACAGGTTGAATTCGAACAGGGTATTGAGACGATAAACATTTTCAAAAACTATGAAGGTCGTTCTTCCATCCTAGATGATTTCTATTTCTATGAAGAGCGACAGAAAGCAATGCAGGAAAGGAAGGCCAGGCAGCTAACTACCCTAGTGGTTTCTGGCGATTTAGTTCGCGATGCACCGAACCTCGTCTCACTCCCTAATGATTTCGTAAAGAAAATGTCCAAGAGCTTTGCCGAAGTTCTTTTGTTAAACGAGAACGAGAAAGCAGGCGGAGCAGCAGCTAAAAAGGTGCTATCTGCTGCTTGTGGAGGCCATGGTAGATAGCTGCAACCACAAATTCGGCCAACAACAAAACGAATATTATCGGCTAAAAAGGTTCTTTAATATTTCTCTGTCCCGCTATAACTCCCTTTATGGATTTTATTTGTTTAGATTAGAAAGACATATTATGAAGAAGTCCATAAGATAGACTCGGGTTCATAACTAAATACCGTATGCATGCAATATATATACAATATGTATACCGCAACTGATACTACGTATATATTATTTTTTTCCCAAAAAAAGCCTTCCTAAAGATGGAAAGCAGCGGTTTTATGAAAATTGGGAATCTAGTTAATTTACCCTTTCTCTAGGACCTAGAGCCAGTGCGAATCAGTGTATGAATATAAATTTATTTACCATGTTGGGTAAAGTTATTAGGGTTTTGAATTTATTTGAGTTTTGAATTCGACATGTAGTGTTGTAACTTCATCTCTGACCTTTGGTGTCGGAGAACAACGGTAGCCATAAACACAGCTTATGTTTTATATATACTTCAATAATATTATCTTTAAATTTAAAATTGATTCAGATAAAATTAATTTTAAAAACAATCTTTTTAAGCATCGGTTTTTGTGCCAACAGAACTTAAATTTAAGACAAACAATTTCTGTATTTTTTTTCTATCCATTTCTTCTTTTTCCTGTTTTTGGTATCCATGATAGACATCGCTCATTGACATTTGGACCTCATAGGGACCAGAATCAATAATCATATACGTCCTAAGTCAATCGTTTCAACTTCCATTCAAAATCTCTCTCCCATCTTCTCTAATGCATTCATTTCAAATCTCCAATTTGAACCCACAAAATTAGACAGAAATGCACTTAAATGTCTGGCAACTCTCCATTAAAGCAGTAGATACATGAATGCAAAAACTCCCGCCCCAAGCCCGTACATCCATCAGTAAAATACTCATGTTTATATAAAAATAATTATATAAAATTAAACTTTTATCATCTTATTTAAAATTTAAGGTTTAAAGTTAGAGTTTAGAATTATCCATTTAAATGTATTTAGAGTTGAATTGAATTTAAAATATAGAGTTTATACTAAGAATTTAAAGATAAACATTTTAAGTTCAAGATTAAAATAAGAATATAAAACTTAACTTTTATATCATTTATGTATCAATAATTTCCTTATACACACTTTTATATATATGTTTGTAGAGATGATCATACGTGAGATCAAGTCGAGTTTTTGATTCACACAAATATGATCTGAATATAACACTTATTTATATATAATCTGGTTCAATTCAGGTTAAAGAAAATTTCACCTAACTTGATTTTTATGGTAAAATCTACACCCAACTCAATACAAAAATATATTAAAAAAAGTATAATTCTTATTAGAGAAAATAAATACCTAATTGAAAAAAATAAATAAAATTATATTATAATAATTATTTTTGAATATATAAAGTTAAATTATATTATTATACAATAATGTATTTTCATTCCATCTGATTTCAGACTCAAAATTAGAAATAAAAGCCAATCCTATAAAATCACATCGAAATCGATTGAAGTTAAAAACCCTACCCTATGGGCTACGTGTGTCTGTGTGTCATTTTGTTTTAAGCATGAAACAGTGTCATTAGTAGTCACGACAATCATTCAAGATTATTTATTTTTCTCTAACGTATTATCTTATTCAACTTAAATAAAATACCATGAAAGAGCACCTAATAGTTAAAATTTCCCATAAATATGATCATATTTTAAGTTAAGAAAGTAAGAAACAGCAACAATGGTGAAGCTAAGTTGCAGCAGCAAGAAACTAAAGAAGAAGGCCGAAGTAACCAGTTAAGCGATCCCATCAGGGAGTGCATCGAAAAAGAAACACACGGCCGAAGCAACCACTAACACGGAACCAACGAAGTGAGCAGCTTCAAGCTTCGTCCGCCGGACTTATCATCAGCATTATGCGAACCAGACAATGGCGTAGCAGGCGTCGCAGTCGTTGACGACGAATTCGTAAATGTAGCCGCGTCCGGCGAGTTTGGGGCCAATCCAAGAAGCTCTATTCATTCAAATTTAAAAAACAACACACATACACCAAACCATACAATTAATTCATTAAAATGTATAATCAAAAGAGAAAAAGAAAACCGAGGGAGAATTTAAAGCTTACTTGGGCAATCACTGACGCTAGCGTTCTTCAACTGGCAAGCCGAAGGAAGTTGAAAAAGCTTATCTTGTTGAAACCCATGCTCTTGAGACTTTGAGAACCAGATGTCTGGCTTTGCTGAAGAATATAACACAAACACTTGGGCTCGTTTTCTTTTACGCTCGAAACCGAACCACAACACTCCTTGGACGGCTTCTCCACCTTGCCTTGAGCAAAGTTCAGGCAACTCATCACGCTCTGGAAATCTTTGCTGCACTGGTTGGATAATCTACTCTTATCGGCCGCACCGACGATACACGCCAGGAAAGTGAACGCCGTGATCGTCGCGATTGAAACTATAGAACCCTTCACTTTCCTTTGTTCTTTTCCCATTTCTTCACTGCTTTTGTTTACTTGTTGAGTATCTGGAATCGAACTTGGAAAGTATCTTCTTCGCTTTTGGAGATTGGAGAATATAAATATGGAGAAACGAGTAGTAATATTGGCCAAATTGTGAATATAGTCCCTGTACTGTACTATATAGTCTTAAACAGTTTAAATTATTTTCTAATAATGTGAACAAATTATAGTGTAAGGATTAAGTCCATAAAAAATAATAGTGCATGGACATTTTAAAAATTTGACCTAATAGTTTTAGGGCTTACTGTATTAATGACATGCAGTAGAACGGTGAAGGATAGGATTCTTTGTTGTCACCTGACATGGAATTAAACGGTTCTGATGGTTTTAGATATAAACGGGGGCCCACTTTATTTTGGGCGGCAAGCAGTAACGTAGAGGTATCAAGTTGTTGGTTTCAGACCGAGGTGTTTAAATAGAAAGCTAAGCTGGGAGGCCAGCCACGTGTCACTAGATATTCCACGTGGATATTTTTCGTTGGTTAATGAAAATGTAAATTACTCTTTATTATTTTTTATAAGGAAAAAAATCATGGTTTTAGTGCTCCAAGTTTTGGAAATTGAAATTTCATTAATTATGGCTTATGGTCGGGAATGAAATTCATGCTTCCACCTATTTCCATATTCTTATTAAAATTTAATAAATAATATGGAAAATTACTTCAAATATCACTATACTTTTCTCGTTAACTCATTTATATCACTGAGCTTTTAATTTTACCAATTATAATATGTTATTTTAATTTTATATTTAATTATATTACTCCACCGTTAGGTAAATAAGGAGATAATGACTAATGGTTGTTGATGTGACATGTCATACCAAAATGACATCGTTTTGGTGCATTTGTTTTGATGTTTAAACGACATTGGTTTATATACTAACTTTAGAGTGCGTTTGGTTCACGGAATGTAAGATTACCAATGAGAATAAAAGATTACCAGTGAATAGGATTACTGGGAATGTTGTATTTTGTGTTTGGTTGGTTTAGCAGGAATGTAAGATTACCGTGTTTGGTTAAAGGAATAAAAGATTATTGGAATATATATTTGACCAAATTGTCCTTATTATATATTTTGTTTTTTAACAAGTTAGAAAATATTTATATATTTTCTTTAAAAAAAATTAAATTCATAAAATTTATATAATTTTTTTACAAAATTGAAAATATAAAAAGGTTTATTGAAAGGGTAAAATTTTATTTTAACTCCTGAACTTCATATAACATTTTTATTATAGATTTTTTTTGAAATCTAAAATAATTTAAGGATAAATTTGTAATTTAACCTTCGTAAAATTTTTATTATTCAATGGCAGAATAAATATATTTTTTAAAGAAAAAAAATTTAAGGGCATTTTAGTCCAAAATGCCGGTAATCCAACAATACCTAAGGAAATAGAGGTAATGACATTCCCGGTAATATACAAAAAAAAAATCCACTATTGGTAATGTAAGATTACCGGGAATGACATTCCCGGCCAACCAAACGGGGGAATGTGGATTCCATTCCCATGGGAATCTCACATTCCCCCAACCAAACACACCTTTAGGGCCCGTTTGGATCAAGGATTTTATTATTCCTCCCAGGAATATTTTTTTTCCTGATTAATATACCCATGTTTGGATAGACAAGATTTCCAAGTGAGGGTAATATCACAATACCAACAGTAAAATTTTGTGGGTTTATTCCGAGAATGTTATTCTCATATGTGTCTTAGGTATATTTTTATTCCCGGGCTTAAGGGCTAAAATACCATTCTTTTCCTCGTGAGTTTGCCTCTGCGATATCTTCTTCTCCCGTGAGCTTGCATGCGAAAAATTCGTTGTTTTCCCAGTGAGATTCTCCTGGTAAGATTTTTCTCCGCTCCCTTTCATTTATTTTGCTTTCCCCAACTTGTTCCTTATAAGGACTTCCGTCCTTCTCACTTTCCTGCCTTTTTCTATTCAAATTTTTTTGTTCTTCTCATCTCTGTGTTTGGCAATTGCAGAACATTGATTATGGAGTTGGAATTAATTTCATATTCATAACACAATAGATTTCAATCTTCTACCATTCAAGAAATTAACGGGTCTTTCTTCATTTCTATATTTTCATTTTTCAATGATTTTATTGGTTGATTGTATAGAATATGGTTAGGGTACTGTTTTTCTTTTTTATTTTTTATTCTAGGGTTTAGGGTTTAGTTTATACAATTGGTGAAATGCAAGTTTGATTCAGTTGTTGTTCTTACTATTTTATTTGCATACGTGATAGTTTGCTGAACTTTTTCAGTTTTTGTTTTCCAGATTGGTTTATTCAAACACCTAGAAGTCACATGGAAACTGGAGGATCGTTGGCACAGGCAATAAGAAAGCCAACGCTTACGCCAAAGGCTATTATACACCAAAAGTTTGGGAGTAAAGCTTCTTATTCGGTAGAGGAAGTAGAGGAACCTACTCAAAATGGATGCCCAGGATTGGAAATCCTTCAGAAGGGGCCTTGCCTTTATCGTTGTACCTTGGAGCTTTCGGATTTTACTGTTGTGTCTGAGTCCTTTAAGAAAAAGAAAGACGCTGAGCAGTCTGTTGCTCAGATGGCGTTGGAAAAGGTTTATATCACCTTGTTCACCATATTGATTTCGTTATAATTCTAGTTTGATAGGCATTTAAGTAGCATCATTGTTTGTTTTA